TGAAGTATTTTATAAAATATGTGCTATGTGTGTATATATATAGTTGTTTATATGTGTGAGTGTGTGGTCACTTTCTTCTAACACATAAATATTAAGTATTTGCTATGAAATATGTGCTATGTGTATAATATAAAGTTGTTTATATGTGTGAGTGTGTGGTTAATTTTTTCTAATGTATAGATACGAAGTATTTGCTAATTAATACGTATTATGTGTTTATAAATTGTTTTCTTATTTAAGATGAGTGTGGAATGGACGTTTTATATAGTTTTTAAATGAGTTAAACTGTATATGTATTTTATATCTGCGAATATGTTGGGTAGAACATAGGTAGATGAGATAGTTGGTATGTGATAAAATGAGGAGGTATGAAAGATGCGTAAGAATAATATCGGTAGACGCACCAAGTAGTGAATGTCGTAATCTTAGCAGATGCGCTTAAGAATAATATTGGTAGATGCACCAAATAGAGATGTCATAATACTAGCAGATGCGCTTAAGAAGAATATTGGTAGATGCACCAAATAGAGATGTCATAATACTAGCAGATGCGCTTAAGAATAATATTGGTAGATGCACCAAATAGAGAATGTCATAATACTAGCAGGTGTGCTTATAGGATAATCCTGGCAGATGCACTTATAGGATAAGGTCGGCAGATGCGCCTAATAGTGAATGTCGTAATCCTGGCAGAGACGCTTAAATGATAAAGTTGGTAGATGCACCTTAAATAACAATGGAATTTGTGTCTATTCCTTAAAGTCAAATTTTAGGAATGAATGAATAAAGGATAGGTGACTCTTAGGGTAAAACCTTAAGAAATAAAGAAGATAACGGGGATGGGTAATTGGGTTGATTGTTTGATGATTAAATATAATAATTATATTATTATTGGTTGAAAACCCTATATGCTCACCAGGCTCCTAAGTCTGACACACTGAGTTTAATTGTATCACAGGTATCGATACGAAGCTGCTTTGCACTGAGAGATTAAAGGAGATGTAAATCACTAGAGTAAATAAATGTATGTTCTGTTTATGCTTATGTGTCTGTATCGGAACATGACATCCTGAGGTTTTATTATTTACTGAAAATACATTCTCTTTGAGAAATATTTTGATAAGTTTTTATCATATCTTGTTTTGGGAACAAATTCCGTAACCATTTTCTTTAAACGAGTACTCTGATTTATAAAACAAAGCATAAACAAATCGGTCTTTTCTGGCCGAGAAATTGGGGATGTCACATTCTAGCATGTTCCTTGTTTGGTTGTGGCTCTAGTGTAGGATATCATGTTCGAAATTGGGGATGTCACATTCTAGGATGTCACATTCCTTAGAGATCTACTAGTAGTAGTGTAGTATTGTATGATTCCGAGTATGTAGTAGTTAGTTGTTATATAGGTAGACTTGGTAAGATAGTTTTCTATACTTATGTGATTACTTGATTAGTTACTTGTTTCATATGTCGACATATTGTGGTGGGATGGGTCGAGGCGCTCATATTTTCTGTTGTAGGACAACACACCTGAGAGCAATCCAGTCATAAGCTAAGGTCTAGGAAGGACATTACAATCTAGTCTTACGATGTAGGCTTAGGGGAAATCTAGTCTTCGTGTTGTGGGCCCAGGGGAAATCCAGTCTTCGTGCTATGGGTCGGTGTGCATGAATTGTATGTATACTGTGGTGTATGGTATTTTTTATGAACTAACCAAGCTTTGGCTTACGGTTGTAGATTTAATGTGTTTCAAGTACCAGTAGTGATCGTGGGAGGGTGAAGGCATGACTATACACATTCATCAACAACCATTGAGATTCGTGTTTATTATATTACTCTGATTTTTGAATAATTGTGTTTTAGAACAAATGGTTTTCTTAATTTAGATACTATAATGTGGATTTTTACCTTAATTAAAATGAAATTTTTTTCGTGAATATGGGACGTTACATTGATACTTGTAGCGAAGTTTCTTGCAAATATAATCATCAATCATTTGATTGATAACATCCTGTAACACCTTATTAACCTGACTTAATAGCATCATGTGGTTTTTCCAGAATATCAGTCTTCGGTATAGCCCTGTTGATCCAAAATATTTCTCGTATATATTCACCTTCCATATAGTGAAATCAGCGAGCTATTCGATGTCTCAAATTCAAATTTCTAGCACTTCATCTATTCAACCAACAAAAACATTTATAACTATGATACCACTTGTTTGTAATAATCAAGAAAAAATCATACACAAAGACACAATATTTAACGTGGTTTAGTCAATCTAAACTACATCCACAAGACATGAGGGAGTATTCTTATTTACGAGCTTGAAAATGATGGTACCCTACAATGAAATCCCTAGCTATTAGCCATTACATATAGGCAAAGTGCAAAGTTCAACCTAATGGGGGGCTCACTCACACTCCCATGGGATAAGTGTTTGTCGTGTATCGGCTTTGGGCCTAACAGCCCCCAACCTACACCAAAAACTTAATTATCCATTTTATATCTAGTGTCATATTTTTCTTCACTTTCCTTGTGCGGGTAAATATTCATTCGATCCATCAATTCTCAAATCAAATTTAACAATATGTACATACATACATACATACATACATACATACATACATACATACATACATACATACATACATACATACATACATATGTACATACATACATGCGTACATACATACATGCGTACATACATACATACATACATACATACATACATACATACATAGTGAGATGTCATGTTTGGTTTACAGATGCGGGATTCAATGACCATTAAATTTGTTCAATGAGAAAAAATGTTTTAAATTATTAAACTATGTTTCATTTAACTTTAGAATAGTTCAATAATGATAAAGTTACAATCTATAGAGCTCAATGCACAATTAGGAGGTAAAGGCTAAAATTTTGTGATATTGTTAAAACAAATACATGTCCTTTTCTTTGAAGAAAAGCAATGCTTCAATTCCATCTCAAATGAACTACCAGCTTCAGTTGCCCAGTGAGGTTTACCTCAACCAAAATCAACTTCGTATATAGGGAACCAACACCAACTTGTAAAAATGCAAAAATTGTTTCGTTAGATTTTCTGCAAACTCTCCATAAGGAACCCATACATTCCTAAATGAACTAGATGAGGGATACGGATATCAATTGGCAAGATGGTCCATCAACAAAAATACATAATGAACTAGATTTGGGACTTGAATTCAACAAAATATCAATTGGCAAGATAGTCCATCAACAAAAATACATAAAGGAACTTCTTTAATCATATTCTTTATCTGATTGTGCATCTGTTTCAATGCCTTTACATCCAAATTATCACCCTCATCTGATATGGACATTCCCTTAGAAGATTCCACGATTTACCGATAATTAATTGGAAATCTGAATTTGTTGGTTCATACCAGACCAGATATTGCTTTCTCAGTACAATATCTAAGTCAATTCAATCAGAAACCATCTCAATTTCATTATGATGCTGCTTTACATGTCCTTTGATATCTCAAAGGCACACTCAACAAATGCTTGTTCTTCAATGATGCTCCATCATATCAAGTTCAAGCTTTTTGTGATTCAAATTGGGTTGCCTGTCCAATCACAAGAAAATCTGTTAGTGGATTTTTCATTATGTTTGGTGAGAGTCCAATATCATGGAAATCAAAGAAGCATGTCACAGTTTCTCTTTCTTTAGTTGAAGCTGAATATCGCTTAATGTGTCGCATATGTGCAGAACTTGCCTGGTTGGGTAGTTAACTTAGTGAACTTCAAGTTGAAGATGTCACTCATATACCTTTGAAATGTGATAATCAAGTTGCTATTTACATTGCTACCAATCCAGTATTTCATGAGCGAACTAAACACATAGAACTAGATTGTCACTATGTTCGTGAAAAACTACGAGCTAGACTTATATCTTTACATCATGTACATACAAATGATCAATTAGTTGATGTTTTGAGAAAGAATTTGTCAGGTATTCATCATCAAGATGCTATTCCCAAGCTTGGTCTACTTCCATATCCTCCAGCTTGAAGGGGGGGGGGGGGGGGTTAGTTTCAATAGTTTTAACTGTAAAGGTAGAATCGTCTTTTTTACTGTAGCAAGGGCATATATGTAATTTTGATAATTTGGATGGTTTAAAAGTAGTTAGTTAGATGATTACTATTTATGTAATAAGTATTGTACTGATTCAAATATATGAACGAATTCAGAAATGAGAAAAATGTTGATTTCTCTCAATCTAACAAGATTTTGTAAGTTTTTCAAACCTCTCTCTCTCTCTAGGTTAGTTTAATGTTAACCTTGGTTTTAATTCAATTGTGTACGTAATTTTTTTAACTTTGTGAATTTTGTGAATCGTTAATCTTTTGGATTCGTTGAGTTTGGTTTGAGGCAGATTTTGTGATAATATCCAATCACGGTAGTTTAGTATTATTTTATGTAATATTATAAAATTTGAGAAATTTTGCTAGAATATTTTATGATTCTTTAAATTTGAATGGAAAATTCTATGAATTGTTGAACTTTAAAAGTATTTGAAATTAAGTTATGTGAATTTTAGGTAAAATATGTTATGATTCTATAAATTGGAATTTAAACACCATTTTTATGAAGCTTTGTACTTCAAATTGGACAGAACGTGCACCACTTGACCCGACCACTGTTTCAAACCATTTTGATCCGACCCAAAAAAATATTGCATTTGAATACTTTTTGTACCCAAAACTTACGTAAATCCTAGATCCACCACTATACATGTCCATGGAAGTATCCAGGTAACTCCATAAAAAAAACACAAGCAATATTCAAACAAAACAAGGAAAAACAAAACAAAGAAGTTTATGTGGTTAGCGACGGTAATGGGTGTTTGCATACAGTCGTTTTCTATTGTATTTTATCATAACAACAACATGCCAGATTTGATCTAATGTTCTATCTCAAGTTCTCTCACGGTTTTCATAATCCCGATCTTTTATATCCATGATTTAGCATATCTGCTGAATATATACATATAAGGTACATTAATTTACAATTTTTTCGACAGAAGTAAGATATATAATTAAAATGTATCCTTCATTCATTATCTACTTTTTATGTTCAATTTTATCTATGAGAGGTTCTACCAAATTCTCCAACTCTGCTAAGTCTTGCTTCAGATCACCAACCTGCCCAGAAAGTGTTTTATTAGCAAATGAAAGGTAAATATTGAACAGCTTATTAATTAGTACCTTGTGGAGGAAATTTTGGGTCATTCGAGCATCCTTTACAGTGACACTAGATACATGTTCTACCATAAGAGCAATTTCTCTCATTTCACCATTGTTTAGATTCTCTGCAACCTCTGCTGATAATTTTTCGGTTGTGGACGCAACCTTTTCTACCACCTCGGCCACTTCCTCAACCTCTTTAACAACCTCTTCGAGCTTATCTGAAATCATCATGATCTTCATTTGTTTTAGCATCTATTTATGCAAACAAAGATCAAAGACATCGTGTGGAAAGGATAACTAAATTATTTTAAATGTACTTGCCTTCTAGCTTTAGCATGTTGTCCCATTTTTGCTTCCATGATGAGAAGAGCAAGGGCAAGATCGTGCCCAAAACCCATTTTACCCTGCAGTAAATTACATTCTATACATTAGTTCTATGTTAATTTATAGTAATATACTTGTTGCAAAATTCAACTGATATTACAAGTTCATTCATGATTTAGCATAAAGTTGCATTTAATTGTAAAGAAGATTTTTTTAGAAATGGGATTGTAATTAAAGGGGTGATGTGGGTTCTTTTATAAAAATTCATAAAGCATGGCTTGTTTTGTTGGTTGTGTATGAAGGTTAAAGAGCGCATACCAATAAAAGATGCTAGGCTTTGGAGAATCTGGATCAGACGACAGAACCTGTAAGGTGTCTTCTTGTTCCCTACATTTTTTAGTTCAGAAAAGAAAGAACAAGTTCATGGTTTAAATAATAGCTGGTCTATATATAAACGATAAAAGCTAGAAAGGTGTAGAAATAAACATTTTAGACTCTGGTCTTTTTGTGGAATTGCAACGGGAAATGGTTAGGGCTTGGTGCATTGAGCTACCAATGCCATACCCCATCTTGGAATTGAAAAGCCTCATATCACCGGTGATATGCTTGTGGGCCTGAACACCAATTGTGCTCCCCGGACTAACTCTATAGCGGCATATCAGCAAGGTGGCAAAGCTACGGACACCATACGCTGTTGAAGAGCTTCTTGGATTCATGGCGCTCAAGTCAACTCCTCAAATGTAGAAAATATATGCTAAAAAGGTTTGAAAAGGATAATGAAGTTGCCTCTTAAGGAAGAATGTGCAATTTAGAATGGAACACCGACGGGTATAGAAAATATGTTTTTGAAGATATAGAAACATGGCAAGAGATCTGGATGAGAATGATGATGCTTGCGAGGATTTCTTTTTTAGGTTTTGCTGACTTTTAAGCAATTAACGGAGTACATTGATTAACAAGTTATATGTTACTTGCAAGTTTTGAAGAAATAAAGTAAATCACCACGTAGTGTATTATTTTAAAAGTATCATTAAGCTCTGTTTTATGTAACTTATAAAATTAGTTTATAACTTAGTTTTTAAAGAAGGTATTTGGACTATATTTGAGGGACTAAATCAAAATGTAGTTGAAAATCTAGATGTTAATTAAATACAAAAAGTAATTTTTAGTCAAAATAGCTGGAATATATAGTATGTAGAACATAAAAAGAACTTGTATAAGATGAATAAATACTATAAAACTACATAAAGTGATAACACTAACACGATCACATTATTTTTTTGATTAATATGTTATTTTTTTGTCCGTCACATCACTAGCACCCTATTTTTAACATCATAGCATTCTATTTTTTTTTTCAAATTTAATTAAATTATATTTTTTTTAAACACAAACTATTAATATTAAAAAGAAATTATTTTTTTAAACTACAAACAATTAATATCAAATAAGGTATATTTTTTAAAACACAAATATTTCATATTAAATTTAAAAAATTACAATAAATTAAAACTTAAAATACCTAAAAATACGAGTTAATAATTCAAACCACATCTAAACTTCCGAACATCCCATGTAAACCATGCACATTCACACAATGAATATACAACGTTTGTATATCTATACACATAAATATGTAATTTTTCTTTTCTTATGTCAATTTACATTATCATATACTGATTTCAGATTGATTTCTTATATTTTTATTTTTAAAATTAGATAATGATATAAAACCTAATCATATTGCAATCAAATTTAAGAAAAAGCATGGTTGGTATGTATAAATAACATTTTAAATGTATATTATGGTATTCTCTTCAACAAGAATCATATTTGAAGATATATTTAGCTATTTATATGTATAAAAATATATTATATGTATGTTTAAGTATAAAAAACATTTTTATATCGATAAATATGTATTTCCTATGAATCAATACGTTTTTATTTATTTAATCATATAAATACATAGTTTATATGAAACGTTTGTTTTTGTGTATTTATATGTTTAAAAATGTATTTATATGCATAAATAAACTTTTTACTGTATTGTATTTATACGTATAAAATATGTTTTATGTATATTTAAGTATAAAAACATATTTATATCAATAAGTATGATTTTTTTTTATGAATAAATACGTTTTTATGTATTTATATATGTACATATTTTATATGAAAAAAATTGTTTTCTGTATAAAATCGCATTTGATCTGTTTATTAGAAAATATGGATTTCTTATGCAGAAAAATGTATTTTATTTGTTAAAATACATTTTCTATATTTTAACATTATATAAATTATATATGTAAAAGAGTATTTTATGTATTTATCACATCCCGGCGGTCGGCAGAAACATCGGGTTGTGGGACGTTAGGATGTTGAATCACATTCATTGAACATACATTAAATAGTACAAAATAATATTTAACATAAATATCACTGTTAGCCTAATAAGATTATAGGCTTTATTTTGTATTGAGTCTTATATTGGTCCATTAGTTAGAAAACCCTAATTAGTTAGTCTATATATTCTACATTTTCCTTTCTTTGTATTTTGTACTTCTCATTTGTTAATAATATAAAACCCTAGCCTTTTTATGTCTTTATAATTTACATGGTATAAGAGCTCAGTTTTGTCATATGTATTTTTGTTTTTGGGGGCAAGTTGTAGAAGACACGACGTTGATTTGATTTGTTCGCAATTTTGGTTATGGTTTTCTAGATCGTTTCTGTATTTCCTTTGATTTGATTTATTCATTTAGTCGATTTTAGGGGTTCCGTTTCGTTTATTGATTTTGTTGATATTTTGATCGTTGATGTTGCTATTCCTATTTAATTTTATTTTTCGTTTGACAGATATTGAATATGGCCCCGAGAGATGATTCTCTTCAGTCCATTAATATTCAACCCAATGGCAAAAACTATACCTATGGAAGTTATGTTATGAAAATTTTTATGTGAGGCAAGATTATGTGGGGGATTGTTACAGGTGACAAAAAAGAAACCAACAGGCGAGAAGGCTGCAAATTATACAACCTTATTGGATTCATGAGAGATTGATAACTCCAAGATCATTACTAGGATTAATAATTTTGTTGTCTAGTCCATTGGTACTTAGTTGGCGAAGTATGACATGACAAAGGAGGTTTAGGAGCATTAAGCTAGGTTGTATACTCGGTCTAACTTTGCAAAGTAGTATCAGTTAGAGTTTGATATTTTAGTCCTCCAATAGAACAATCTCAGTGTTCAAGAATTTTATGTAGCTATATAAGATTTTTGGGATTAGTTGGCTTTTACAGAACCTAATGTGTTGAAGTATGGCTGTAAACGAACTAAACGTTCAACAAACTGTTCGTGAACCGTTAGGCAGGAAGTTCGTTTATATTCGTTTATTTAATAAATGAATGAACATGAACACAAATTCTAGTTCGTTTAGTTAAACGAACAAACATGAACAATGGTTTCGTTCGTTCAATTATGTTCGTGAATGTTCGTTTATGTTGTTCATTTACGTTTGTTTATGTTCGTTCATATAAGTTCCTTTTATGTTTAATTATGTTTGATTACATTACAATATTATATGGTCATTTATGTTCATATAGGTTCAATTATGTTTGTTTATCTTTGTTCATTTATGTTCGTTTAGCATGTTCATGAACATAAATAAACGAACATGAACAATGTAATTTGTTAAACAAACGAATATGAGCATGAAAACTTGTTCGTTTATCCGTCATGTTCATTTATTTGTTCAGCTAACTTAAACGAACGAACATGAACAAGCCCCAGTTCATGTTTGTTCGGTTCGTTTACAGGACTATGTTGAAGGATTTTAAGCCTTATATCGATTGAATGGAAGAACAACGTTTGGTTCAATTCTTGATGTCATTAAATTCATATTTTAAAGGTCTGCATGGATCAATCTTCCATCGCACACCTCTTCCCACTATCGATTCGGTTGTTCATGAGTTGATTGCTAATGAAACTCGTATCAAGTCCCATGTTGAGAATGATCCCAAGAAAGCCACTCATGTTGTCTTTGCTCTTCCACAACGACCTTAGTCTTTAAAAGAAAGTCTTTCTAGAGGTTCATTTGATGAGTATGATTTTTGTAAGAAGAAGAAGCATTATCCTTTGCTGATAACTAAGGGAAATT